TTCTCTGACAACCATTAATGCACTTTATCCGTTTTTGGGCGATGGGGAAGTCCGGTGAGTAACACGTTCGCTCGTCACGCCGAAGATTCGGGTTCTATTCCCCGCATGGGTACAATGTGTGAAGCCCATTTCTGTTGCCACCAGAATATTGCTGGAATATTGCTAAAAGCGGCCTAAAATCTCAATCACTCACTCATCCGTTATCATTCATAGTGTCAATATATCACTAAGAACGGATGTAATCAACAGCTGTAGAAGCCAAACGATAGGTGCGCTCGTTCTACTTCTTTCAAAACACGTTTGACATTAATATTGACCAACACTCTGATTCTGTAGAAGTCACACGATGGGTGAATGAGTGAGTTAAGATTTTAAGTTACATCGGCAATATTTCAGCCATATCGATATCGTGACTATAAACAAGTTTTGAATTCTTTCAGTGGCATGTAGAAGTTGTACATTGATGCCCAAGATATTTTTATGGATTAAATATAGAAATTAAGAAATTAAAAAGAAGTTTAATCCATAGAAATATCTGGGACAAGTTTTGAATTCACCATAAATACATATAAATTTTAAAAACCTGTCGACGAAGGTCAGTAAAATCTACTGGAATATCACAGTATCAAGAAATAAAACTAGCATCTCACTCTAAAATTAGATTTCAAATTAGGGCAACACAATATAAATATGGGCTATAGATCGCCAACAACTGAACGTATATCACCATACGAGGGACCATGGGGACTTACATTACTTTTGCTACCTGCATGGAATTTACATCATCCCTTCAGCTGTCAGCCATTTCTGACAATCTAGCCATAAAGTAGAAGAACATATACACTACGATTAAACATAATAGTAGGTTAAAATCTACCTTGAATATGCTTTGGGACTTATGTACCGTCACATGATAATACCGATACACATTTGAATATAAGTATATTCTGTTGCTCAACGGACGACCAACCTTAGATGCATAACAGGATTCATATAGAAATACATGTCGACCCCAACAGATGTATCCTTATTGCTTTTAGAACCAAATGGCAAGAGCGTCAAAACAGATTTCCGGTTATGTCAGTATGATCAGCATTGAGTGGGTGAGTTAGGTTAGTATACCCGTTGTATCACGGCACCTACAGGTCTGACAGCATGGCGGTAGACCTTCCAGAATATAGTTCCCTGTTTAGAGTATTGCCAAATGTACAAAGGGCATTCTACAAGTTCTAAGCCAAATGCATTTTGACTTCTGGAAGAACCAGCACATTCAAGGATAACAGACGTCGAGTACCATAGTATAACATTGATATATTTAATAGGTTTCTAAATAGCGGAAATGTTTCCATTGTATATATAACACATTACATTAAAACATTTTGAGGGATTGGTGTGAAGTAATCATTACTAAAATAAATTTAATTTTGCGTAACCAAATAAATGAAGAATATTACTTATTCTGAACAAAGCGTTTCTTGAGGCTGTTTCCAATCTTCTTCACTGATTGAAACATTTTGTATATGCCGTTTAGTTCCTCAGGGTACTGGTGGAGCAAAGTATTCTTCTGTAAAAGTCTTTGGAAATTGATATGTTTGTGGTACAATCCTCTATGTATGGAGAATGAAGTTTGTACATTCGTATTGATGATATTGATATTCTGGTTTTCAATTCAAATGTGTAAGACAAAATATTTACTGAAAAATAACAATATTCGACGATGGATGTCATGTGAGCTATTTTGTTTATTACCCAGATACAATTCAGTGAAAATGGAGCAAAAGATGTAGCTTTTCCGACCACAAAACAAAACGTCAGATCAGACAAGATGATGTTGCACTGTCGCTACATAAACATCATGTGATGCCGTGAACAAAAGATGACGTCATTGACAATAGACCAGTGAAGATCCGGGGTAGAATAGGTCTAACCATCAACCCATGCTTGCCACAAAAGGCGACTATGCTTGTTGTAAGAGGCGACTTACGGGATCGGGTGGTCAGGCTCGCTGACTTGGTTGACACATGTCATCGGTTCCCAATTGCACAGATCGATGCTCATGCTGTTGAGCACTGGATTGTCTGGTCCAGACTCGATTATTTACAGACCGCCGCCATGGCGATATAGCTGGGATATTGTTGAGTGGGGCGTTTTATTTTAAAAATGCAGCCGAGTTAAAACTTCCCCTGTTTTAAATTCTCAGACTCAGCTTGAAATTTGAGTAAAAACTTAAGTTTGTTTCGAGAAATAGGGCCCTGAATGATACTAACAAACTCAAATTTCTTTAGATGTTGGAATGCTCAATTTTGCAAGCCGCAAGTTTGTTGCCTGGTGGACCTGCACCTATTGCGCTTCGGTCATGAAGTTCGTGAACGTACTGTTTTCCATTTCAAGACAATAATCATTCATGTAGCTATTTTTGAAAGAATTGAGAACGTGCTGTCTCACGGTATTTTTTGCCTTAAAATAAAATATATAAATTCAGGATAATGATGACATCAGAGTTGCTAGCGTTCCAAGGTTTATCCAGATGCAGAGTGACTTGACAGTCAAACTGCACCTGCTTCTATATCGGAGGAACGCATAGCAATTGTAAATAATTGTCACCATTATCCCTTTGTTATTTCATGGGTTGTTCCTGGTTGATACAATAGTCTATAAATTACCTAACGTATATCGGTCTATGACCGGACGGTGGTAATAAAAACACAAGGCTGCCGTTTCATTTAGCCAGAAGCATTTCAGATTGACCGCCGACTTGCTTGTGGGATTATCATTACGTGGTCAGCGTGTCAATCAGGAAGTGACATGCAGCCGGTAACTGCCGTGCAAACAGTTAACTATTGTCTGCAGTATGTCCATGTCTGGCGGCATGTATTTTACAACCTGAGTGAGTTACTCTCGTTTGTGTACGGAAAACCACAACATGGGTACTTTTGTGCATTCATATAAATTTCATATCATAGTTATTATACTTTTGTGTGTGAAATATTAGGGAAATATTTGCACTATAACAGAACTATGACTGTTTTTCAGTGGGCACAGTCCTCGGAAATAAAGTTGAACATAAAAAAACACATAATGAAACACTTACCGCTATACATTCGAGGAAACCTGCACTCAGATGGCCAAGCTTGTACTGTGATCATGGCGCGTCTGCTCGAGAGATGCAAGCAGATGTATGTTCAGCAACGGGCCAAATTGTTAAGTTGAGAAATATATGCGGTAGCAACGTGTTTCGTCTTATCGTTCTGTTTAACCTTAATAGTTGAATAGTTTTCTCAGTAGTGAATAGTACTGAAGAAACAAAGCAGAAATTCACTTCAATGGTTAGTCGTCAATTTGCATGTTGTTTTAGTCCTGTGTTTTCTGAAGCTTCAGCTGAATAGTGAAGATGAATGTCAAAGTGAAACGTTTTACAGGAAGCTCTATCGTGACACCAAATGATAAGAAAAGTTGATATTACGTTGTGAGGAGACCAAAGTATAACTTTTCCACAACGTAAATTTGCAACAATGCTATTATGGTGTGACATAACCTTGCACAGTGACGTGATATTAGCGTTGTTAGAAAGAATGGAAACCACTTCACTGTGACGGATGTTATATAGGAAATCACACAGTATAATATACGAGGTAAATAATGCATTCTGGTCCTTTTTTCTGCAGAAAGACAATAAATCTACGAACAATTCAATGTTCTTACGATTTTCAGGAAAGAGACATCAACGTTTCAGAAACGCTGAAATATAACGTTGTGAAATGGTTAATACACTACGTCTTGACTACCTATATGTGTAATGTTGCTGTAACGTTCTGAAATAACGTAATAAAATGACGTAAGTCGAATGTTGTGACAACGTTGTATCATGATCTTGCCAATGTACACCCTTCCCACAACGTTGAGATGACGTTGTGTGACAGCTGGGAAGCTCTTTTGGTATGGGTGAGTGAGTGAGTTTAGTTTTACGCCACACAGCTATATGGCGGCCTTTTTGGTAGGAAGCGTGGTACTGAGTGAACACTTAAAGTAAAAAACTCCTTAGCCTTCTTGAGTGGCTTGGACTTTATCGACTTGTGTTGATATTTTGGTACATCAACGGACACCCTAATAAATGGCATTCCACACAGTGGCGCTGAACTGACTGTGTTTTGAATGTATTTACTTTGACCCCATGTAATGACTGTGTCTATATGTTGTGTTATGATTAGGAAATTATTGACTAAATGTATCTACACATGTACTCTGGGACAGAGGCCTTGTATATTGAATGCCTTCTAAAAGATTGTACTGTACCCAAACTATCTCCTTGGAAACTGTAGGTTAACATTTAGTAGTTATTATTCACATTATTTACAAGGCATTTTATTGTGACGTTGACGATTTATCGAAAATCCTATCACGTTCTTTGAGTATACCTAATTGTAGAAATGATGCTGTCACAGTATGGCTGAAATATTGCCGATGTCTTAACTCACTCACCAAACCTTTTGATGAAGAATCACAGTCAATTTGGAGTATCTAGAATGTACAATTCACTGCCGTTATTACAGTTGGGCCATCATACACTTGTTTCATTAAATGAGTATGACACAAATGCCCGGATATCTGTATTTTATACCCACCCTTCAGTGAGTCATTGTTTTTTACAGTCAGTTACCAAACTAAACAGTCCCTTTTACGAACCGTTGATGGAATAAGTGAGGGATAAATAAACAACGTTCTGGAGAATTTTCAATGTCCATGCTCAAATATGAACACGAAAATTATTGAATGTTATCAGATCATCAATATGCCCAATGCACTATAATTTTGCAATCCAACCAGAAATTCCGGTTTATATGCACACAAAAATAGATCATCAAGGGTGGGCACAATTGGTGCCATACTGAGATGTCTATTTCTGGAATAATACCTCATATTTCATTTGAAGGATATCAGTGAGAAAGTCAAGAATAGATTTTCTTTCTTAAACATGTAATCACATATGATAGACACTGCATTTAACATGGATCGTCCTCCTTGTACGGCCCCTCAACAACGTGTCGTGTGGAAACATACTTGACGATATGTGCATTTTCTCCATTACACGCCAGATTTAGGATGTTATCACCAGCATCATTCATAATTGTTAGATCAGCCCTATGATCAACAAGTAAGAAGAAGACAGCCTCACGTCCCTTATATGCCGCAATCATTGCAGGCGTACATTCTTTCCCATCCCGACTGTTGATATCCACAATGTTGTGTGTGAGGAGGTACTTGACTATTTCAACACCGCCGTGGCTACAGGCCAAATGAAGAATGTTTTGATTGGTATCAGTGAGTAGTGACAGATCAGCTCCCCATTTCACAAGTAATTTAAACACGTCTATACTTCCCCCCATGGCTGTAGCCATTACTGCCGTCAAGCCATTATTATCTCGACTGTCGATGTCCACAATTTCATGTGTCAGGAGGTACTTGGTTATCCCAAAACTTCCCCATACACAGGCAACGTGAAGGATGGTTTCATTGTCATTAGTCACAAGTGACAGATCTGCTCCTGCTTCAACAAGAACGTCAAACACATCCTCATTTCCATTACTGACTCCATACATTAATGGTGTCCAACCGTTCGCATCTCGACTGCCGATGTCTACAATGTCATGCTTCAGGATGTACTTGATTATCTCAACATTACCCCCTTCACAGGCCACGTGAAGGATGGTTTCTTTGTCGTCACACAGTAGTGACAGATCAGCTCCTTCATCAACAAGAACGTCAAACACACCCTTATGTCCAGACATGGCTGCATGCATTATTGGTGTCCAACCTTTCCCATCTTGACAGTCGATGTTCACAATGTCATGTTTCAGGAGGTACTGGGTTATCTCAACATTACCCCCTTTACAGGCAGCGTAAAGGGTGTTCATTTTGTAGTCACCAACTAGTGACAGATCTGCTCCTCCTTCAACAAGAACGTCAAACACACCCTTATGTCCAGACATGGCTGCATGCATTATTGGTGTCCAACCTTTCCCATCTTGACAGTTGATGTTCACAATGTCATGCTTCAGGAGGTACTTGATTATCTCAACATTACCCCCTTCACAGGCCACGTGAAGGATAGTTTCTTTGTCGCCATCCACTGGTGACAGATCTGCTCCTTTATCAACAAGGACGTCAAACACAGCCTCATGACCACCCTTGGCTGCATGCATGACTGGTGTCCAACCGTTTTCATCTTGTTTGTCAATGCCCACAGTGTCTTGTGTCAGGAGGTACTGAATTATTTCAACATTACCCCCTTGACAGGCCACGTGAAGGATGGTTTCTTTGTCGTCACCCACTAGTAACAGATCGGCCCTTTCTTCCACAAGTAAGTCAAAGACATCTTTGTTTTTGTATAATGCTGCTTTCATTGCTGGTGTCCACCCGTCCTTATCCCGACTGTTGATGCCCACAATTTTCTGTACGAGGACATACTTGACGATGTCAACACTTCCCCCAATACTAGCTAAATGAAGAATGTTCATGTCCCAATCATCCAATAAAGACAGGTTGGCACCTTCTCGGACAAGTAGGTCAAACACTTCTTCATGTCCCCCCCTTGCAGCATGCATCACCGGTGTCATGTTGTTCTTCTCCATTGAGTTGATATTTGCCCGGCCATCAGACAAAATGTTCTTGACTCGAGCCACATCTCCAACCCGGCAGGCCTCGAGGAGAGTAGTGTTCAACTCAGTATACGCTAGCGTCCGATTCAGTTTCTCTGAAGGAAGACATAAAATTTCAGACAGTGCATAACTTTAAATATCATAGAAAAGTTGTGGCGTATATGTGAAAAGGAATGTATTCACATCTTCAACATCTTATTATATAGTTTTCTTCAAATTGCTAACATTTCGTGTTTGAAATGAAATGGACAATGAAAACACTTAAGCATTTGTTGATGATGATGCTTGTCAAATCCTCCATTTCATGTTGTATTATACGTTGCATGGGAGCGGTGTTAACATAAGCAGTAATACTTGTTCACCAATCCCAATTCACCTTCATGAACAAAAATATGTTTAAATTATGATGATGCTTGCCCTTGATAACACTTTGTATCATCCCTATATGACAATGAATTTTGAACACTGACGTCATCGGCTTCTCATCGCATAGAGCAATTCATTCAGAGGTCACAATATCATTCAAAGACACTATATATAACGTCCGGGGATTTTGCGTGGTGCCTCGGTTGTATTTGTACACAGGTGAAGAGATATGAGTCAGATTCTAAATACCTCTAAGAATGATCTTTTATTCCCTAGTTAAAACGAATGCTTACAATATAGCTTTTTGGCATTGCATTTGCCTGAGCACCTCTGAGAAATTTGTTGGAACAGGCGCTGTATAAATATTTACTATATTTATTTATTTATACGAGATACTCTCACCCAGGCAAGGTAAGGGTGTCATCTGCAGGATGACTCCACCTGCTAACGTAGGAACGAGTATGACACAAGTCTGCTATTTTAACTATATCACAGGCATTATTATCAAATAGTGAACTGTAGTCACGCCACGTGAACCTATCGGTCACAAACGCACGCAAAGTCTAGTAAATATCGGGGATATTAAGTGCAATTAAATTTTGCCGTCCAAGATGATCATTGTGCGGTTGATTGTAAGTTTGCGAATGGACGATTTTAACAAATCAGATTTCACATGCTGCACATTTACCTTTCACACATTCAGTTTTGCCAGTTCGAGTCTCCAGACACCTCATGTTTGGGCAAGTCGTCAACTGACAGGAGCCAGCTCGGACCTGAAACAAGTAGGACACATGTCTTGATCATAATATACTATCCATATCTATACATCTCAAGCCAATATGTTTACATATTCTACTGCAGAGGCTTCTGATATCATTATGCAGATTCTGACGATAATAACCCTCAGGGATGAATCTAAGATCGCGTCAATGACATCGCCAGGGTATGTCTTTAAACATAAGCCCCGCCCATCTCAGGTTGGAGGCCTGGCCATTGTCTTTAAAGCTCATCTCAACAGGAAGATATTGGATGGTGATTTAGTTTTTCTTCTTTTGAAAGTTAAGATTTTCTGTTGACTGCTGGCAAAACAACAAACATTGTCGCTTTATACAGACCACCCCTTCAACGCGTAACAAACTTTCTTTCGAACAAGTTTGTGAAGAAATGTCAACATTCGTTGAATCGAAATGCACAACACGTTCCCAATTTATCATGCTTGGAGATTTTAATGTTAATTTTAATAGCAAATCAAGTACTCAGTGTGATAACATGAAAGGTTTTTCTCGAGTTCGTAACGCAAGAGTGGACATACCCTAGACTGGGTTGTAACGATGAAGGATACATGCTGTGTTTGGGACCTTAGTGTGACCAACACCTTCAAATAACAGACCATTATCTGATCACTTTCTCTCTGGATGTCGATAAGCCCCCGCACCCGAAGAAAGTCAAGCAGTGTCGGAACTTAAAGGCTATTGATAAAACTGCATTCAGTGATGACTTATCAAATAGCGTTCTTGTGCAATGTCCTCCCTCGGATTTAAATGAACTGTCAGAACTCTTTAACTCTACACTTCTGGTTGTATTCGACAAACATGTGCCTCTGAAAAACAGGCGAGTAACGGATAGGCCTATGACACCATGGACCATGGCGTCAGATGTATTAGAGGCTAAACGCAGTAGAGATCTTATCTCCTGGAAGTACACAGGCAGATTTACTGTGTTGCCAGGAACAAGGTCACCTTGGAGATAAGGCGTGCCAAACAAGCATCCCTGAACAGCAGAATCCAGGAATCAATGTCCCATCCTCGGTGGCTCCATCAGCTTATGTGCCGCCTTCTTGGTAAATACTCCTCCCGACCTCTCATCTCGTCACATCTTCCTGATGAGCTGCCAGACGTCTTCCAGAATTTTTTCATAAAATATAATAGCCAAAATCCATAGTTCAATGGTAGGATCTAGTAACATGTCATATTTTGGCAACAGTGACTCCACACAAGATCCAGAAGTTTCCAGAGTGTCCCTAAACTATCGAGACTCCAGTGACAATGGCGAACAGACTCTCACACATTTCAGACCTTTCAGTGAGGCTGAAGTACCTTGTTGATCGGGAGATCAAACCCCACATCTTGCGCACTTGACCCGTTGCCTACATGTGTTCTTTTAGACCATCTTACCGTTCTGCTCCCAGTACTCACCAGAATCATCAACACCAGAAGAATTGAACACATGGTGAAACGCCCGCTGCTTTCAAATCTGCGCTAGTGAAACCTCTCTTGAAGAAGCCAAACCTTGACTGCAACGTACTTGGCAATTACAAACCTGTATCCAACCTCTCGAATGTTTCAAAACTCATTGAGCGAGCAGTGATTGTGAGGATGTCACAACACCTCCAGCAACATGACTTGTATGACCATCTTCAGTCAGCCTATCGTGCTCACCACTGAGACTGCTCTTGTTGAAGTCATAAATGATCTACGACTTGGTTTGGACAAAAGCAATATTGGTATCTTAACCCTCCTCGCTTCAAGTTCGGCTTTTGATACAATTGATCCCGACATGCTGATTCATCGTCTCATGTGTGACTTTCACATTGATGGCACCGCTCTCTGTTGGTTCAAGTCCTACCTAACCTCCGGCCGTCAGACTGTGCTCATAGAGGGACATTACTCTGCTCCAGTTCATCTCAAACATGGTGTACCACAGGGATCGGTCCTAGGGCCGGTCCTCTTCACTTGGCATGTTAAGAAGTTTGGAAGTGTGATTGCAGAACAACATAGATCGTCATCGATACGCAGATGACGCATAGCTATACAAATGTTTTCCTGCAGACCAAGAACAGTCATGTAGCGCACAAACAGACATGTGTCACTGCTGTGATGGCGTTAAATCCTGGATGACCAACAACAAACTTAAGCAACAAGACAGAGTACATTCTCCTTGGTCCAAAGAAGCGGAGGTCCAAGTGTGGAGTCAACTCACTGGAATTTGACAATTCATGTATCTACTTTGCTGATCAAGTCAAAGACCTGAGCGTGTTCTTAGATTCAATCCTGTCACCTGATTCTCATGTATCTCGTCTTGTCAAAACCTGTTTCATGGCACTCCACAACATTGGACATATTCGGCAATGTCTTACAGTTGAATCTGCAAAGACTCTTGTATTGTCACTTGTAATGAGTAAGCTTGATTATTGTAACAGTTTACTGGCCGGTGTATCAAAGACCCAGATAGCCAAGCTACAGAGAGTGCAGAACGTCGCCGTGCTCGCTCTGGAAAATATGAACACATTACTCCTTTACTGTACACTCTCCACTGGCTTCCAGTCGAGTTCCGGATCAAGTTTAAACTCTTATGCCTTGTTTTCCGCTGTCCCACTGGAACTGCGCCTTCCTATCTATCCAATCTTCTAACCGTGTACACGCCTTCCCGATCTCTTCGTTCACAGGATAAGAACTTGCTTGTTGTACCAAAAGTAAAGACAGTATGGAAACAGGTCCTTTGTCCATGCAGAATCAATCGCCTGGAACAGTCTCCCACAGAGTCTCAGAGACTGTTCTGACTTTCATACATTTAAATCCAATCTAAAACACACATGTTGAAGACTTAAGACTGTACATACCTCTTTGCCTTAGTTGCATTTTTTGTTTGTGCGCGTTGAGCATGCAAAAGCATGGATATACGCGCGTTACAAATATGCTATTATTATTATGTTTCACAGATTACAGATGGAAATGCAGCAGAGAGGGTTCGGGTGATCCTGGCACAATCAGGCTGGCAAGGCTCATCATCAGCTCAGGGCCCTTGCCCCTCTACAGGCAGCCCAGACAGCGAATGGGACTTCTCCCAGGAAACACTGCCTAGTCGAACCCACCAAAAACTTTGCGGAGAATTTGAAGGCTCCCCAACACTGCGACTTTCTGCATTACCCAGAGTGTCAGAAGGGCTGTGCTCCCGGTGGAGAACCCGGGCACTCTTGGCGCAGATCAGGAGGTACAAAACCAAGGGACCAAGAACAATGGGGAGCCTGACGACAGTGTACTTGGGATGCAAGCGAGACATTTCAAAGGCGAGGTCCGCATATTTATCATGCTTTTCCTGTCTTTCACATTGCTGTCAAAAGGGACAGAAAATTCAATGATATAAATAAATTCAGTGGCTTTATCAAAAGGACAAGATCAGGTTTGTTGGCAGGAATTCTTCTTCTGAGGCTGTATGTGGGCCTATTCCACAGAAGTTTGAAAGCATAATTTTCCATGACGCCCTGGACATGTTCAGGGTCGTACCATGGATGGACCTCGGAGTCAAAGCCACAGGCATGTCGAAGACGATAGTAGAAACAATGAGCCATGCCATCATGTCGTTTAAGGTATGCTGTTTGTGCCAAGGAAGGGCATCCACTGACAAGGTGTTGTGCAGTCTCTGTGAATTCATTGCAAAGTCGACATTTCATATTGATATTTTGTTTTAGAATCACATTTTGGCGATTACGAGTGGAAAGTGACTGTGGTCCTGAGCAGCGAAAAGGAAGCCCTCAGTTTCACATTTGAGACCAGCCAGCTTCATCCAGGCGAAGGAGACGGTGGGATTGCTGTTCTGTTCCACACACTGCATGTACACATGCTGCAACGGCTTCTCAGAAAGCCTCTCCACAAAAGACTGACTCTGGGCAGACTTGGTGAAGGACTTCACCTGGTTTACTCCCATCGCTGTACCGTC